TTTAAAAATATTTTTAATTTTTATTCTATGTGTATGTTTGTGTTGCCTGCATGTGTGTAAGTGCACCCATGTCGTGCAAAGCCCTCAGAGGTCAGAAGAAGGCATCAGATCCACTGGAACTGAAGTTACAGATGGTTATTAGCTGCTATGTGGGTAATGGGATTTGAACCCGGGTCCTCTACAAGAACAGCCAGTGCTCTAACAGCTGAACCATCTTTCCAGCCCCCTACACTTAGATTATTGTGTGTGTGTATGTGTGTACATATGTATGTACGTACATGTGTACAGGGATACTACAATATGCTTGTGGAGGTGGAAGAACAACTTTCAGGAATCAGTTCTTTCCTTCTAGCATGTGGTCGTAAGGATTAAACTCAGCTAGTCAGGATTGTCAGCAAGTCCTGTTGGGTAGTTGGCCCTGTGCTGACATTTTGTTAAAGCAGTCAGAGAAGGCTTCCTTAAGGTGAGGCAGCTCTGTGACTTCTGGTATAGGGTCATGGGAAATCCCATTTGAGTTTGAGCCTCCTGCCCTCTGGTAACCACAGCTCTTGCTTTCTTGCCCTGTGATTCTCCAGGTTCAGCCAGCCTGACTAACTTCCCTTCTTGTGTGTCCTGCCCCTCCCTACCCCTTCCTAACCTTCACATGGCCTCATCTGGGGTTCTTCGGAACATAGGGTCTATCGACAGTAGTTGCTCATTGAGTAGGATGCCTCCTGACTAGCCTTGGCAGGTCAAGACAAGCTGGGGAAATAGTTTAGCCCATAAAATAACTTGCCTTGCAAGCATTAGGACCTGAGTTCCATCCTCAAACCCTAAGTAAAAATCTCAGTTTTTGAAGGCAGCTAGGGATGTGACTCAGTTGGTAAGAGTGCTTGCCTAGCATTCAGGAAGCCCTGGGTTCCATCCCCAGCATTGCCAAAACTGGACATGGTGGTATATAGGTATAATACCAACCCTTAGGAGGTGGAGGCAGGAGAATGAGGAGTTCAAAATCATCCTTGGCTTTATAGCAAGTTTAAGACCAGCTTGGACTACATAAGACCTTATCTCAAAAAAAAAAAGAAAAAGAAAAAGAAAAAAATCAGCTGAGGTGCTGTGCACCTTGTAATCCCAGTGCTGGGAGTGAGGATGGGGTGGGGAGAAGGGCAAAGACAGGCAGCTGTCCTGGGACTTGCTGGCCAGATAGCAAACCTTGTGGGAAACCATGACTCAAAAGAACAAGATAGACCCTTGGATACCATCCCTCATATGGCCCCTGCCAGTCTTGACAGTGTACCCCTCTTTAATATATACATTCTCTTCTCTTCAAATAAAGTTATCTTTGTAAACAAAACCAGGTGGATGGAGCCTGAGGAAAAACACTCAACATTGACTCTCATCCCCACATACCTGCATGCACACACCTGTATGCATTCATCCCTCTCCCATACCGCTCCCCTCACACACCAAAAGAAAGGAAAAAAAGGGGCTGGAGTGATGTCTCAGTGGTTAGGAGCACTGGCTGCTCTTGTAGAGGACCCAGGTTCAGTTCCCAGCCCCCAACGCCAGTTCCAGGGAATTTGACACCCTCTTCTGGCCTCCTCAGGCATTGCTCGCACATGGTATACTTACATACATGCAGGCAGCACTCATACACATAAATTTTTTTAAAAATATAAAATCTTTCATTTAAAAAAAAGGAAGAAAGAAAAAGAGACTGGTCTCCTCTTTGGGCTGGCAGAGCAAGCCAAGACCTCTTTATAGAGTTGTCCTCCCCCCCACTGTCCCATCGCCCCCCCCCACCCCACACCAGCTGTAGGGCCAGACCAGCTGTTTCTCTCCTCACTGTGGTCTTTAGCCCTTTTCATCAAAAACTTACTTTGAACTTGAAACTGGCAATAAATAACATTTTTTGAGATGGTCTCATATAACCCAGGCTGGCATCAAATTAACTGTGTAGTGGAGGATGACTGAACTTTCTCCCCTTGCCTCCTCCTCCTAAGTACTAAGATTACAGTTGTATGCCACCACAGCCATCCACCCACAATAAATTCTCTTATGCCTTTCTCCTGTGAAGAATTTGTCCATGGAGAGAATAAACTGCTTGTATGAAGTTTAGTGTGTGTGACTGGGGCCTGGCTGGGGATTCCAGTGGTCTTTTGCAAGTTTGCTTGCTTGATATTTTAAATTTATTTTTATTTTGTATTATGTGTGTTTTGCCTGCATGTTTGTGTTTGTACCATATATGTGTCTGGTGCTCACAGAGACCAGAAAAGAGTGTTGGATCCTCTGGAACTGGAGTACAGAGAGTTGTTAGCTACCCATGTGGGTACTGGGAACTGAACCCAGGTCCTCTACAAGAGCAGCCAGTGCTCTTAACCACAGAGCTTCTCCCCAGCCACTAGCTTGATATATTTGGTTTGGTTTGCTTGCTTTCAGGGTGGTTTGAGACAGGGTCTTCCTATAGGCCCAGCTGTCCTAGAACTCACTATGTAGACCAGGCTGGCCTTGATCTTACACAGACTGACATGCCTGTGCCTCCCGAGTGCTGATACTAAAGATGTGCACCACCACACCAAGCTTAGCTTGGTATTTTTGAGTAATATCTCTCCTAGTTGCCCTCTCTGATCTTGAACTCTCTCAGTAGCCCAGTCTGGCCACCTACTCAAATCCTCCTGTTTGGGTCTCCCCAGTGCTGGGATGACAGGCGTACACTTTGGATCTGGCTGACCCCCTGCCCTGTTGGGATTACTAGGCCACTATGAACAGTGATGGAGACCTCAGAGGGGACACGAGGTCCAGGCTCTGGCTTTGGAGTGATCCTGTGAGAGGTGGGCCAAAAGATCCAACCATCCTCAGGTCTTAGGAGCTCTGACCATATATACCAGCTCTCTTGGGCATGATTAGTGCCACCAGGCATGGTGACACATGCTTCAAATCCAAGCATTTGGAAAGGCAAGGCAGGCGAATAGCTGCAAACTGGGGGTCAGCCTGCTCTACATGGGGAGTTCAAGGCCAGCAGGGACTATATATCCTGTCTAAAAACCAAAATATAAGAACCAGGAAGTTCTAGGGATATGGCCCAGTTGTTAGAGTTCTTGCCTAACGTGCATGAAGCCTGGGTTCCATCCCTAGCATCCTATAAACTAGGTGTGGTGATATATGCTTGTAATCCCAGAACTTTCAGGAGGCTCAGGAGTTCAAATCCATCATTGACTACATAGGGATTTGAGTCCAGCCTGGGTTACATGAGACCCTATCTTAAAAACATAAAAATAAGCCAGGTGTGATAGCATACTCCTTTAATCCCAGCACTCAGGAGGCAGAGATAGGCAGATCTCTGTGAGACTGAGGTAAGCCTGGTCTATCTACATAGCAAGTTCCAGGCCAGCTGGGGCTACAGGGAGACCCTGTCTCAAAATAAAAACAAAAACCCAAACCAAAAATCAACAGTCAACTAAATAAATAAAATAAAAATCAGTGCCTGACATTTCTCCAGCCACGTCTATGTGTCTTACCTCATCTCATGGGGAAACTGAGGCACTGATCTAAAGAGAGGCTTAGCTAAGCCTGGCCAGTGTTTTACAAAAGACTCTTGGGTAGAGGAATGGGGTGCTGGGTTGGGGTACCCTATGCTATCACACTTTGGGACAGCCGAAAGCTTCTTGCCAGTCTTTGTGGGGAGTTTTAAAAGGGATTGGTCCCCTGTGAGGCAGGGGCAGCTGGTAGGGCGGGATGGGGGGACCAAGGGGGCTGCTAAAAGAGGAAAAAACAAATCAAAGAAACTCAATGTGGGTGTCAAAGACTGGTGACCTGAATCTTAGCAGTTGTTGAAACAACTGGTTGGAGGGCCTGTGACCCCAGAGAGAGGCTGAGGGTCAGGGAGAGATTACCTGAGCATCCCCAGGGCCAGGACAGCTGGGAATAGGGACAGCTGAGCAGTCCAGCTTCTTGCTAAGAATAACCACACTGGGTCCCTGCAACCTAGGAGCCCCTTCTTGTGCTATAAGCAAGGGACAAACAGAGGGAGCTAAGGTGGGTCGGGCACAACTAAATGCTTTACACAGACATCTCCCAGAGCTGTTCAGGCCTGCCACACACACTTAAAAAAACCCTGTTTTATATTTATTTATTGTTGGGGAATGGGGCAAGGGAGTACATGTAAAGGTCAGAGGATAACTTGTGGGCGTCAGTTTTCTCTTTCTTCCATGTGCATCCTGGGAATTGACTCAGCTTGCCAGGCCTGGCAGCAAGCCCCTTTACTCAGTGAGCCATCTCACCTGCCCATGCTTTGTTTTTTGGTAGGGATGGAACCCAGGGCCTCCCACATGCTAAGCAAAAGTTCTACATCAGAGCCACACCTTTGCCCCCTCATGGGGGGATTCTAGGCAGGTGCTGTAACACTGAGCCATGTCCCTAACCCCTCACTGGAGGATTCAGGTGGGTGCTCTATCACCAAGCCACATCCCCTGTCCCCCTCTGTTTTTATTCACTTTTTGTTTCAAGACAGGGCATTACTGAATTGCTCAGTTAGAGTTAAATTTGGGGGGGGGGTGTTTATTTTTTGACTGAGTCTCATGTAGCCCAGACTGGTTTCTAACTCTCTACATAACTTAGGTTTTCCTTGAACTTGATCCTCTTTCCTTCCACCTCCCAACTGGCTAGGTTGGTAGGCATATAATACCTGGTTTGTACAGTGCTGGGTATGGAACCGAGGGCTTTGGCCATATTAGGCCAGTACTCTACCAGCTGAGCCACATCCCTAGTCCCCTCTAGTGTGAACTTTGTAGATGACAGTGTATCTTGGAGAAGGTCGAACTTTTATCTGGGAGGGGCTGGAAGAGTAAGAAGAGACTTAGGATGTCCAAGATCCAAGGGGAATGACCTTACCCCAAATCACACTGCCAACCATGCCTGCCTCAGTTTCTCCATGATGTATCCATCAGTGACACTCTCTAGCTCTAACTCTGTCCCCCAGTTCCAAGGCTAGCCCTAATTACAGCCTCTTTCCTCATCCATAGGGTCCCCCCTGCACAAGCAGACATCAGGACCCTCCTCCACTGGAACCACCACTGCCGTCCCCGAGAAGCTGGGCTCAAAGACAGCTGAAGTGGGTGATGATTTCCTGGGGGACTTCGTGGTGGGAGAGAGAGTGTGGGTAAATGGCATCAAACCTGGTGTGGTGCAGTATCTGGGAGAGACACAGTTTGCACCAGGCCAGTGGGCCGGTGTGGTCCTGGATGATCCGGTGGGCAAAAATGATGGAGCTGTAGGTGGTGTACGCTACTTCGAGTGCCCAGCCCTGCAGGGCATCTTCACTCGGCCCTCCAAGCTGACCCGACAGCCCACAGCTGAGGGCTCAGGCAGCGATGCCCACTCGGTGGAATCCCTCACTGCCCAGAACCTGTCCTTGCATTCAGGTACTGCCACACCCCCACTCACCAGCCGGGTCATCCCCCTGCGGGAGAGCGTTCTTAACAGCTCTGTGAAGACTGGCAACGAGTCTGGCTCCAACTTATCTGACAGCGGCTCAGTGAAGCGGGGTGACAAGGACCTGCGTTTGGGAGATCGTGTGCTGGTAAGTGTGAGGAGGCACCTGTATCCAGCCTCTCTTTCCTCTACCCTTTGTGGACAAGCTGGACCCTGGGGGCTGGGCAGAGAAGGGACTCAAAGGGAGCTTGGAGAGGGTCCAGGCTGGGGATACCATTCATTAGTACTATATAGAATGACAAAGGAGGAGAGGCAGACTCTGGAGACTGTTGCTATGTGACTATGGGCGTTTGTCTTAACCTCTCAGGGCCTCAGTCCCCATGTGTATCAGTCAGCTTTTTGAGACTGTGACAAAATACCTGAGATTAAAAACAACCTAAAGGATCAAAGGGTTTGGCTGGCTTCATTGCTTTGGGTTTGTGGTCAGGAGAAATCATGGCAGCCAGGAAGCAGAAAGAGAAAAAGAGAGAGAAAGCAGAAAGAGAAAAAGAGAGAGAGAAGGGTTCATCACTACTCCCACCTTCTTTCTTTTGTTTTCTAAAAGAACAGACAGACAGAGACACACACACACACACACACACACACACACACACGCACACACACACACACACACACAAAACATATGAGCTAGGGACAAGATCTGCCCATAACTAGGCCCCACCTCCTAACAGCGTATTCAGCCATGGACTCATGAGTAGGGTAACCCATGGATAGTTATAGTGCTCTCATGGTCCAGTGATTTCTCAATCACACTACTAGCTGTGTGTTGACCAAACCTTCAACACAGGAGCCTTTTGGGGGGGACACTTGCATTCAATCCATAATACTTCCTTTTCTTCCTTCCTTTCTTTTTTTGTTTTTTTTTTTAAGATTTTTTTT